GAAGATCCGAGTTTCGACGCTTCCACTGTTCTTGATTGGAATATCGACTCTTTGCGGGCAAGTGGTGGATCCATCACGGCCCCAATTGAGTATGCTGAGGCATACATTTATGTCGAGGACAATAAGGTTGACATGGTCCCCGCTTCGCGGCGCGACGGCCAATGCGCCATTGTCTTTGCTGACCCGCCGGTTGGGAAGCACCACAGGCGGGCAGCCACTCCTAGGGGAGACCAACGGTCTGCTACCCCGCGACCTGAATCCAGGTCAAAGGGTGATCAGCAAAAGGGCAAAGCCCCTGCGCAATCCTGGCCCAAGGGCGGAGGTCACAAGGGTGACCAGTTCCCAGGAAAGGGTCACAAAGGTGATCAGTACAAAGGCAAGGGTGGCCAATACGGCTACCAACAAGGGCAGTTCGGTCGTGGCGGATCCGCCAGATCGAGAACTCCCACTGGCGGGTATCAGCCTGATGCTCGCGGGTCGGGATATAAGGGTGCTCAGGCAGCCCCTTTCCCGTTCCCAAGTCCGATGTACCCCGCTTTCCCAATGGGAGGGTACATGCAACAGCCAATGGCTGGCATGATGCCGCAAATGTGGCCTGGCGCAATGCCGCAGAGTTGGCAGCCGCACATGCAGGGTGATCCCCGCGAGTTCGAAAATCCGAACTCGCCGCATACCCCTACCTGGGGTGCGGATGACGAGTTGGCCGAGACCGTGCCTCCCCCTCCTGGGGACTGGAACGTCAACAAGGGGAGGGGACGGCACGGCGGCGGGCGACATCGGTGATACCTGATGTCCGTCTGCATCCGTTGCGTGGCAGCGCCAACGCGCGCGTGTTTTCATTCCGGAATTCACATAATGGACTATGCTCCTTGTAGTATCTCTGCATTTGGGCTATTCGCCATTTCAGAATTCAACTGCATGCGCAGCTGTGCGCTATTCGCGCAAGCAGCGATTACCTGTCAGGTGTGCGTCGCCGCAGCAAGGAAGTCATCCTCGGCGGCGTCTACGGCCGCTGGTGATCCGCTTACTCCAGCACCGCTGCTGCTGCTGGTGATGGAGCTCATCAAGGTGCCGTGGTGAGGATCACGGATGCGCTGCACCGCTGCTGGTGAGGTCCTACTCGGACCTGAACCGCTGACTGCAGCTGGCGGTATTTTTACCGAAGGTCTTCGTGTGATCCCGCGCCTAGACGGTGCTAATTTAAAGACCAGGGTCTCGTGGTCGAAGCACCATGTTTCAACCAGTGGGCCAAAGCGCCTGAATCACGAATTCAGAAACTAAATCCACTTGTATCTTATGATCCAATGTGGTTGCAGTGCAGATATTTCACGCCTGCCATCTTGGAGTTGAATCTTTGTTTCTCTCTTTCTTTTGCTTTTCTTGGTTGATTTGGCTACCGGCGTGATCCGCTCCATACCCGTAATTCGGGGTGGTGGCGGGATCCGGGCTCCAAAGCGGGCCCGGGTATGGGGTCGCGAACCCTGGTAGTCTAATCGTCTTTGTTCTTTTTATTTGCTTTTCAACTTCAAATGGCCAATGCGCCCTTCCAAATTCACTCCTCTCTTTGTACAGGCGAGGGGGGTGTTTTTGGGGGCATGTAGTTTTATCGCAACATGTTTCAACGCCACGCCAACGCGCCGTTTGGCTCAAGCTTTTCAATCCGGCAACTTGCCCTTGCAATTTCGTCACCGCGCACCGCGGCACGTCGTGCTCTCTCCGGCAAAGAGTGCCGCTGCCGAGCGCCTGTGGTGGTGTTCCCGGTGGAGGTTGGTCGGGGGTCTGGTTGGGGTTGGTGCGCACTGGTTTGCTTTGCTTGCTTCGCTGCATTGTTTGCCTGCTTGGTTTGCTGCTTTGTGCTTGCTTTCGGTTGTCTCTGCCCTTGCTGGGTTCTTTATCTTGTTACAACTGGCACCCTGTTTTGGTTCGTGTTTGGCCAGCCGGGGGCACCGCTTTGCCCTTGGGACTGGGGGACTTAAACAATCTCTTCTTGTTGGTGGGATTGGGCCTGTTTATTCTCTCCCGAAACTCTGTTTCAAACCCTTTCGCAATTGTGACTCACCTGCTGGGCTTTGTTACGGCAAAGGGGCAGGGTTGAGACTTCCTTGGGAGGAAGAATGCGGTGAAGCCGAACGCATCGGAAGACGAAGAAGTTCTTGACGCCCGTCCGCTCGTGGGTGTAAATGGGGACGTTGTTTCTCTAAAGCGCCCGTCTGTAGTGTTATCAGCACGAGCGATTGGAGGCAATGTAAAGCTGAAGCACTTGATCTTCCAAACAAAACATCGCGGCCTGGCTGCAATTCGCAAGCCAGGCGGTTTGGGCAGGTCGTTTGCCTGTTCTTTGGGTTTCTTCCCCAATTGCCTGCGCGGAGCATCAGCGGTCAACGCTGGTGCTCCCGGTCACCAGCATGCCGTGCGTGCCAGCCGTTGGCTGCAGATGTCTTGTCTTCGCAGAGGCAGCTGGACCTTGAGCAGAGATTGGGCGAGTGGCAGTCCCGGCGCAGAGATTGAGCCACTCTCACAATCCATCCGTTCACACCGCTGAGGTGTTTGATGCAAGAGAACCCGATCCAGTTTGTGGGGTCCACACTGTGAGACAACCCCAGGTGAACAACTGGCATTGTGTTTGCCTTGTGATGTGGTTTCCATTTGTCACAAAAAGCAATTTGGGCTTGTGTTTCTTTAAAGGGACACAAAAGGGAAACCAGCCATTTTGGGAACCGCCGCAAAGGCAAGTATTTACTCTGGGATCTTTGGAGCGTTTCAGAATGTTGCCGTACTCAGGCCACCCCTTAGTGATTGAGGGTAAATGGGAAACCAGGCCTAACCTCCAAGCCACCAATAAGTCGAGGGAAGGATGGCAAGAGAGCCCCTCTATTTCACAGATCATTTTCATTACTCAATGGGGCTGAGTAGGGTCCTCCGGCAATTTGAATCCCATTGAGACGGTCCATTGGATATGACTTCAGGGTGTAAACCAACGGCAATCTGTGGCCATCTCGGGGGTCTCCAAGCCAAAACTATTTTACATAGGGTAGACTAAATATGACAATCTGTGCACCCCACATGAAACAGTTTCTGAGCAGTTCCAGTTTTTTCAATGTACCCCACAGAGTGCCCTCGGATGGTTCACCTACCGCTTGTTCCACTTCCCTCTATAGGTAGCCAAGGCCATTTGGGTTTCCCAGCCCTGGAACATTAGAAGGAACAAAACTGGTTACCCATTACTCACTTGCCCAACAGTTCTATCAGGTTCGAGGGTTGTGGGATCAAGGGGTTTTTCCCCACTTCTGTGATACAAGGGATTCTCCCCTTTACGTGGCAACCTTTGTCTTTGAGAACCCTTTTTGTTGTATCACAGAAGTGGATTCCGTTTCCCACAGCCCTGGGCCCGATATTTCCAGGGCACTGGACTGAGTCTGAACCTCGCAGGTGAGCACCACGAGCAAGGCCCTGAAGGACAAGCGACTTTGGCGCGGTCCCCCGAATTGAAGATTCGCCGATTCTGTGCCTAGGTCCCCCCAGCAACTGGTGCCCTGTCTCACCCCTTTTTGGTTGGGAGGTGTCCCCTACTAAAATAGACTACAGGAAAAAGGGTACCCTTATTCTAACCTCTCTACTAGGACATAGGTGCCTTGTTTTATGGGTCCATACATCCCGTCCCGGGGGAGTTCAAATTCGAGCGATTCTCTCGCATGAAGTGGGCGCTTGACTTGGGGATGTCAAGGAAATCTTTTCAGGCGTTGGAGTTGTGACGTGCGCGGGCCCGTAACACGCGAAACAAGTGCAATGGGGTTATCAGGTACTTTGCAGCTGCAGCAAGCCGTGATTATCATCTAAAAATGCTTAGCCACTCATTGTGCGAGGTTAGTTTCAATAGAAGCCACAAGGGGAATATTTCATCTATCGAGTAGTCATGGACATGGGCAGGATGTTTCAAAAGAGTACCATCCTCTTGAAGTGTTTGCCAGGACGCGCAGGATGACCTTTATTCAAGTCAGAGTTCGTACTGGGGGGATCGTGTCCACTGACAGGAGTTTGCACTGTCCCCGCCCCTCAAAAATGGAATGGGGGGAGAGTGGCCCCTGAAACCCCATCTGTAGTTCCAGGTTGGCTGGGGAAGACCAGAGTTGATGGGGCTCAACCCCACGGCTACACCCATGTGTGCCATGCTTTGTTTGCTGGTTGGTGAGGCTGGTGGTAAGTGAGGTGAATGGTTCAGCCAAGGTTCTAGTGAAATCATGACGACCTAGGCACTGAATGCTTCGCATCCATGGGTGACGTCTGACTTCCATGAGTTTGATGTTCGGTGGGGGGGAAATGGAATTGGTGGATCCGGATCCCGCTTAGGCATTCCGTGAAAATCCAGCATCTAAGAGCCTAATAAGATTCTCCGATACGGCAACCAATGTCTCAGCTGCAAGTGATTCTAAGGACTTTGACGTCACCCTTCTGTTTTTGAAGCCAGGGGAGCCATGATTCTCGTGAAGGCTATCCTAGCAAGCAACAGCCCCAACGACAAATAAATGCGGAAATCCGCCTTTTTTTGTTTGTGCGCCATGGTTTTGTTCAGACCGCTTTACTTGGTTTGTGATGTTCCACTTGGTTCAGGTGTTATTCCGTGTTTCCAACTAGTCGCAACTTACCTTTCTCGGGGGGCCGCTAGGAATGACTTCAATGTTTGACCCGACTCAGCTAAGGTTTAGACAGCACTTCTAGCAGCCTGTGGTTCATTTGGGCAAGAGCAGGGGGGGAGCTCAATCAGTTGATTGTGACTCAGAAACAACATGGCTATGAATTGTATTCTTCCAAAATGGTGGGTAAAGGATGTCCACCAAAGTCCAGGGCTGCATGTCTGAATGTATCCATTTTTGAATCCTGGAATGAACTCCCAGATGGGTTCGCGGACGTGCCAGCGCCCTTCTGCCTGCAAGCTGTTGGGAAGTGACAGCAATTCTGGATAAAGGCTGCGGCATGCAAAGGATCGCAGTAATTACCTAAGGATGGCAGCAGCGACTGACGCAGCTGCTGTGGCCATATTTGCTTCCACCCGCAGGGTCCTTCTGGAGGCACTCCGCGAAGAGGTGCTGCCCAACATCCCTTGGGTATTGGAGCTCCCCATATCCAGACTTGTCGCGGAGCGCGTCGCCGTCGCTGTCGCCGTGGCGCGATCTGAGTCTGACCTCCCGATGTTCGGGACATCTGCAAGGTTTCGGTTGAAGTCAAATCTTGGTGGCTCCCAACCATCCCCTTCGCTTTAGCTCTTTAAACTTTTAGCGGGGCATCAGTTTGGGCAGCCCAGGTAAGTCAACTAATGAATGGCTCCTTGCCCGAGTTTAGATGAATCTCCTCAACCCAGACCAGAGCGCTGCTTCCTGTTTTCCTTTGTCTTTTGGAGGGGTTTTCCTTGAAAGTCCACTTCCGCCAGTAAAACATGCCACTTGGGAGTTTTCCTAGGACTCGCACCCCCAACATGGCTTCGGTTTTCCTTGTGGCTTCCCTCTGAACCCCCCCCCCCCCAACAAAAACATGACAGACCCACAGAGGCCCGACTACAACTACTACCTGAACCGCGACCGGCCCCTGGCGGATCGCTTCGCAGCCCGGGACCCGGAAACCGGCGCTCGAAACTGGGGCCGGTGAAGACAGTCAGGGATACTAGGTCCAGCAACTGGTGCCCGACCTCTCACCCCTTTGGTTGGGAGGGTTCGGGACCCTACTAAAATAGACTACAGCAAGAAGTTGGCACCCTTACTCTAGCCTCTCTACTGGAGGACCTAGGATATGTGTAAGAGCGAATTCGAGTTCCCTCCTTCCCCCCCTCCCTCCCCAAGTAATATGATTTTCTGTCTACCCCTCTTTTTGGGCCAAGCTTTGGGTGCTTGCGAGGCTGCAATCACAATGAGAACTAAACACGTGTAGTTTTGACACCTGCGCACAAAGTGAAACCAACTAAGGATAGAACAGTGCTTGTGATTTGTTTGGTTCCTTTTGGGGAATTATTGTGTACCGTTAAGTACCACATCTGCGTCGCCGTATGGATGCAGGCAAAGGGCTTAAGCCCCTGTATTAGTTCATGCTGTTGTTAGTTGCATGTTTCGGTAGTGTCATTGTTTGCAAGGGGGTTTGTGGTAATTGGGAACTAATCCAAATATGAACATGTGTTGGCCTGCATGCAGTCGTGATGACCAAACTACTTTGCGGGAATTGATGCGTAGGAAGGAGCCTGGGTGATGTTCACTAAAATATCCCAACCTGAGACAATCTTAGTACTTGTTACTTGTAGTACAGTACCACTATAATATCAACGCCGGATTAATAAGCCCCTGTTTTTTACTAGGGCGGTGTTCCCTTCCAAAAGTGATGAACCCAGGGGCACCCCCACATTAATAAATAAGGGTTTACTAATCCTGGGTGAACAGTAGTTCTATCTCTATCTCTGAAATGGTGGACTGTAGGAACGAAGTAGTTCACCCCTACAAACCCAGTACTGATATCAGGTACTTAGTAAATCTGTAACAACCATAGTTATAACCCAGAGAAGCCATGGTTAAACGTCTCCATTCAGTGGGTTATAACCAGGCTCACTCACTAACCACTTGCCTGACGTACCAATTCGATCGTCCCTTTAAGTAGACCTTTTAGTAGGCTTGGGAATATTGTTCTGGGGTCAGCATTAGACCCCAGGCAATTTGACTGTAGGTAATTACCAACATTTGTCCCATGTTGAGGGTAAATGTGGGTATATCTTCTCTGTTGCCCAAAGCTGATCTTTTGACCTTTTACCTTCCCTGTTTTGTTCCCCATTTCTAGTCATGGCCCCAAAGGTTGACCTTTTCTTTCCCGGTCCTTAAGTGGCCAGCGAGCAAAACAAAGGGACCATGACCAAAACTATTTTTTTGGTGAGAAGGAGTCTCCAGGAAATAGGGGGTTAGGGACGCACCACCAGAAAACAATTGTCTGTGGGTCATAGCCTAGGTTACCAACAACTTACTACCCTCCCACCAATAGACATTGAGCCTGACAAAATTCCTTTTAAAAGGAAACTCGTCTTCCAGGACCCCCCGAAACCTCGAACAATCCGTGTTAATTGGTGGGGTAGCTGGACCGACGACCCTAGAGTCGGATTGGTTTGACTGAAGCCGACCGGATTCAACCTATGGGTTGCGCAACCAAGTCAACTTGACTCCTGGAATCCCAGGACGTTGGGGGGTTCACCCCCCACACCCCCCCCACACCGCCCACACCCCCCACCCCCCCCACCCCCCAACCCCCCACCCCCACCCCCCCACCCCCCCACCCCCCAGCCTCCCCAGCCCCCCTACCCCCCCCACCCCCCACCCCCTGTGTTGCTTTTTGTTGCACATTGACCTATTCACACACTCCGCTGACATGATGGCTCAAGGCCCTTCAAGTCATTTGTACAGTCATTCGACTCATGGTACAGTGATAAAAAGGCTTGCAGACCGCTTCACAGGATTCAAGTCAACACAAGCCACCAGGGACAATCCATCCTCCAATCCTCCATATTGCATATTGGACTCTCTCCGGAATAGATCCAGGGACCAAATCAACGACCTCAACTACCACAGGGTACCAGTTCCCTTCTGGGATAGGCACCCCGGCAGTGGGCCTCAATTTGTGGTAGCGGAGCAGGTTTTCCGCAGAGATCCAAGGGAAGATGTCATCCGATGGAGAAGGCTTCATGGAAGCCTATTCAAGTATGGCCAAACCATCAGGCTATACGGAGGAAACACTCAATCTATCGATGACCGCCAAGCAGCCGCCATCGTACGACGCAAAAGTCAGCTGGCTTAGGTATGAAGAACTCGTGGACGACTGGGTGACAATCACTACGGTGGAAGCACCCAAGAGAGGACCTCTGCTCAAGAGCAGACTCACAGGAGATGCCTATATGTACAAGGCAGTCCTCAAAAATGACCTTTTGCAAGATCCTGATGAAGGAGTCAACTACTTCAAGAACACGCTGAAGAAGTACTTTTTGAAAGGTGCGACCAACGTGTATCTGTACAGGCTCCTCAGTTTCTTCAATCATAGAAGGCAGAACCAAGAGTTCCTCAGTTTTACATCAAAATTAGAAATCCTTCTCATGAGATTGAAGGCAGCATGGATGGACTTGATGCCCGTTTTCACGGCACAGTCCCCATCATTTCGGCAGTCCGTACAGGACGCAAATGCAAGAACAATTGCTCGACATCAGCACTGGATGGCGGGCTGCGCGATGGCTGCGAACGTCTTGGATTTTCCTTTGTCATGTCCGCCTTTTCCTTTGCCATTCTCATAGGGTGGATAACCCTTGTTTCCATCATAGGGATATTGGAATTTTGATTTTCCTTTTTTTCCCTTCTTTCCTTTGCCTTTTCCCGAATATGCCTGGTCGTAGGGATCATAGTTCTCATTGGCCATATCGGCCTTCGCGCCAGAACCACTTTTTCTGAAGGGTTTAAAGCCACCTCGTTGGTGACTGCCCTTTTTGTTTCCTGATTTTCCTTTTCCTTTTCTCTTCTTGAATCTAAAATTCCGCCCTGACACTTTTCTTGCTATGAACGCATCGTTCTCCCCGAGGGCCCAGAATGTCTCTTCATCGTTGTTTGACATGAATCCTTCAAGTCCTTCTTCATCCTCAACCCAAAAGCCTTCTTCTCGTTCGAAGAATGTATTGCTTCGGTTGCCTCCTTGAGGTCGGTTGGATGGATCTTGAATGGATGTCCTGGTCGTGATGAAGAGTTCATGGTAATGCGTCTTCAGCATCTCATAGGAGTAGTTCTCTAGTGAAATGTTTCTCAATGGCATTGCACTCGTCAGTCTTTCTCTCTGCTGATCTGACAATTCACTTTGAATAATGAAAAACTGCGCAATGAGATTATCCCCGAAGGGAAATGCGTCCCGCTGTCTGTCCTGCATCCCTGTGATATACTGTCTGATTGAGCAGGACTGGAGGCGGTACTCGAGTACCAGCAGCTTGCAGACTGCACCATCCACAGAGCCTACCTATGCCGGTTGGACAGACCAAGATTGGGATCAATCATGGACATGGAACGATCCCATGAGACATCCAGCACAGGACAAGCGTTAATGGCATTCCATGACGCATATGAGCATCATGAGAAAGAGGCCATCCACGGGAAGCTGATCCAATCAGATGCAGTTTCAGAACACAATTTGTCCGTCACAACAAATCACAGCCTTTTGGCAACAAAGCTGATGGCGCCCGTCATCAACCCTCAGCACAATCCGACCTATGCGATCCTGGACAATGGATGTACCAGATCCATGGGCAGCTGGCATGCAATCCAGCGTTTTACTCAGGCCATCGAACCCATGAAGGACATCATCTCCTATCAGTACATCCCGGCCGAGACCAAGTTCATTTTTGCAAACGGAGAGACCGCCAGGGTAAATTGGACCCTGCATCTTCGATCTCACACAACTCCTCCATGCAGTACAAACATCGACGTCCTTGAACAAGGAACTGTACCGATCCTCCTCAGCATCAGTCAGATGCGGAACCTCTACATGACCATCGAGCACACACCTCAATGTGACAAGATCACATGCAAGGCTTTTGGCATGAACCGTCAAGCAGTTCCAGTATCCGGTACAGGACATGCACTAGTCGATCTCGCTGGAGTTGCAAGAGTGAAGGCACATGGAGAAATTGCTCACAAGGGCCTCACCAACTACGTCTACGATGATGACAACAGCATCAAGTTTCCCTCCGGGGATATCTCCAAGAGTGAAACTGTTTGTGCAGCAAAATCATCCGAGACGAAGGAGGACTTAGTAACTCCTAAAATCATTGGGTCTCAAAAGCAGGACCATTGGATCCTTGATAAGAAGAACAATCAGCTCATCCGTGTGCACATCACGCCTCGCAAGGCGCTGTTCACACCAAATGGAGCCAAGGAATGTCCAATCAATCCTGATAACATCAGCCGAGAGCGTACTACCGAAATCATTGATGCATCCGAAGGTGGAGATCCAGACATCCTAGAAGACAATTGGAGACTTACATCCCAGGCAAACAAACCAATGATTAACCTGTGGATAGGCAAGACCATTTTCACCTTCGCGGACAACTCGCTTAAGGACGAAGAAGCAAGGAGCCAGATCCTTTCGCACCATCCTCAGAAGAACCAACAACGCTTCCGCTTGCACTAGGCAGAATCCACAAGCAATTGTCAAATCCCGAAGAGTTGAAGAAGCTCCACCTCCAGCATCATCACATGACAACAGATCAATTTCGATTTAGAACTCGCTCACTTCATTTGCCGAAATCAACATTCGATCTATTTGACAGAATCCGAAGTGAATGTGAAGTTTGCCAAGCGGCAAAACATGCACCATCACGAAGCAAGACGAGTGGACTTCGAGCGGACACCTTTGGTGACATGACATTCATTGATCACTGTCAAGTTCCTCTTGGAACAGGAGAACACATCATTGTTTTTGTCATCCTGGATGGAGCAACAACATTGCTCACTGCAGAGGCAGTGACAACTACGCAAGAAGTCGAGAACATCACTGTCCTCAGGAGCTATTTTGACCAGTGCCACTTGCAGCCCAAATCAGTTGTCGCA